CTGACGGACGGGGTTCGGCAGGTATTATAAAAATGTCAACCACGGAGACGATCCTTTTAGTGAGACCGGGGGGGCAGAAAGGAAGGAGGGAAGGGGGGGGGGGGGGGGGGGGGGGGGGTAACGGATCGATCAGAAGAGCCAGGTAGGGGCCGGACAGGTTGTTGTGGACATGGGCAGGACGATGGACGGTGGTGGACGGACGGGATGGGGACAAAAGAAATGGGTTTATTTTATGAATCGAATGAGAGGTGAGAGCAGAATATGAATAAGGACAAGTAAGGGTAGGTAGGCAAAAGTGAGGTACGGATGACGGACGGTGTGTCGAGGTACATTCAGACATACTTTGCAGCGCGAGGTACTTGTTTGATGGCCCGGCGTGTCCTGACTGACTTGACCCAGAGGAGAGAAAAAAAGATTCATTACACACGCACTCATCTCGTTCATACATGGCCTCTTCCACCACACACACCCACGAGTGTGCTGCGTACCTTTCCATCCTCATTCAATCTTTTGCACACAGTACCAGGCGAGCACACACACACGCATACACACACACTCTCACACACACACAAGTAACAGCGAGAAAGGCAGCTCCTGAGATGCGAAGTGCTCGACTCGCACGCGCACCCTCCCCCCAAGTCAGGTCAAGTGAGATGTCCCAAGTGCGGAAGCTTGGTGAATTGAAACGAACGGTTTAGCTGGGACGCTGGCCAGAGTGGACACCGGGGCCATTCACGCTGAAGCAGGAACGAACGGGGGTGACGGGGGTTGGCAGAGCCACGGCAGGGCCAGGAGGTCACCCTACCTAGGTGGCCCTGAGGTGGGTGGATACGAGGGTACTTCGGTACGTGGGGACCTCACCCTGCTTAGGTCACATCTTTCCACGTCCTTTCCTCAGCAAGGGTGCGTGCCCCCTGCACTGCTCGCCCACCCCTGCCTTCCTCGCCTTCCACGTCCTTTCCTCTTCCTGCCTTTCCTGCCCTTCTGTCGCCCAAACCGTACACTGAGTTTCCACCTGCCGCAAGTTCCCACCACACGTACCTGCCAGCCACTGCCAGTGCCTGCGCCTGCGCCTGTCGTACCCAGTGCGCACAGTGCCGGCCGCCCTCGACTTTGGCTTGCCCGGGCAGCGAGTGACCTCAGCTCGCTCGTGCACACGGAGTGCTCCCTGAGAGGCCTGAGGTAACCTGACGGGAGGTGCTGGATCTGCCCTGTTGGACCAAGGAGACCTCCATGTCAGTGACGATCGTCCTTGTGCTGTTGTTCCATTGCCGGTTGGGCCACCGCTAGTCGTGGGAGGCCATTCAGGGGTTGGGACCGCCCTGCGAGCTGCACCTGGAGCTGACGCTTGCGGGCGGACTGCCCATTCTCTCTACAGTCGTCTTTTGCAATTGCCATTGGCAGCGCCGTCGTCGACGGAAAGGAAGCAAATGCCCCAGTCAGCGTCGACGGGAATCACAGGAACAGACATTATGCACCAAACGGCCTGAGCACGGCACGACAGCGGCCAGCAATGGCTGCGGCGGACCTTGTGCACGAATAGCGGCACCAACGACGTGGACGCCTCCCTATGCCAATGCCAATGCCAATGTCAAAGCCCGGTCGACTGTCCAACTAACTGGTCTACGCAGTACCATGACTACGGACACCCAGCAGACCCAGCAGCAACGCGATAGTAACGACCACCTCCCATCCGTTGACCACCCTCCATCACGGCGCTTCATGTCCATGTCAAATGAGCCGTTGAGAAAACAGACAAACAATACGGACCGATCTGCACGCCCTGCATCATCAATCAGAATAGGGGACCACCTGTCATCACCGCTACGTGCGTACCTGACGATTACCTACAGCTGCCGCCGACACCGCCGCCTGCCGCCGCCGCAGTTACCGCCCGTCGTGCTCATCATCATCTTCATCGTCCCTCTGCTCCCCGTTGCTGTTCAGGGGCCATCGCCAGGAACCTAGACACCACCCAGCGCTGTCTGTCCGCTCCCCTGGCTGGGCTGGCTCGCCTAGCAGAGCAAACCCCCCCGGCGACTATTTGGCTTTTCTCTCGTTTTGCCTCGTCATCATCAAACAATCGGGTTATTTCTGCCATCATCTCCACCAAAAGAGTGGACCGCTCGTCTCCCAGTCAAATGCTAGAACGAGACACACCAAATTACCTTTCGCATCCCCACAGACAAAACCTACGATAGGGCGGAGCAGGGGTGGTTGCTCGCATCTGTTTCCCATGCCGCCAGGGACTGCCCGCTGCCCGAACTGCTCAGAATCTGAACTGACTTGACAATGGGAGTCTGGCCTTCGTGGAGGCTCGTGAGGGTGCACTGCGCAACCAAGAAAACATGATGAGCGGGAAACCCCAGCACTCAGAGCACACGACGGCCACCGATGAATCTCTCGCCAACACCCGTTTTGACCAATGACCAGCCTCTGGCCGTGAAGGTGGCCATCCATCCATCCATCCAGCGCCCGCCGTGCCATGCCATCCCTGGGCCTGGCGATGGCCAAAATGTGGCCGCCGGCACTCGGGTACCTACCCAACCACCACCACCGCCAGTGCTCGTCAGATAAGGTAGACTTGGCGGTGCTCCGACCCTGTGCCAGACGAATGTTCCAAAGCTTCCATGTAGCCACTCCCCTCCTCGATTGGGCAAGCACCGTTGTCGCCGGCCGGGCATCATTGAGCGTGTGCTGTCATGGAGGGCAGACAGAGTGTGGCCAGAGCCACTCCATCTCGCATTATCCCGAGTCCCAGATCACCCAACGCGCAGTATCCGGATCTCTTCGCAGCATCTCACGCGCATCTCTCGCCTCCGCGTCGTACGGCCGTGCCTGACGTCTACCTGCGATGGCCTGGCACCTTACATGAACGGCAACCAGCCCCCGACAATGGGCAGGCGCAGCTCATTACCGCTCATTTCCCACGCGGCACCCTCACAAAGACCATCTTGGAGACTAGCCGCCGCAGAAGCTGTCGCCACCCTAGTGTTTGCGCCAGCTGCTTCTTGGCAGCCGAACCTCGAAGGGAAAGGGAAGAAATGCATCATTATGCCCATGACCGTAATGTTACGGCACGAGGTGCAGAGTGCCATCTAATGAACGCTCGGACGCCATGAAATTGGCTGCGGCCTTCAGAGCACGTATCAAAGTCACGAAACAAAGTTGCGCTGGAGCTGTTTGAATGGTCCCTTGCTCCCCCTTCCCAGCCCATGCCTATTCCGTGCTGTCACTGACGTCTGAAGCCGAGCCTCTCTTTGCTATAGCATGGCCAATCTCGATCCAAGGGCCTTGCGAGAGTGCAGGGGCACCCGGCTGCGCCGCCGTATGAAAGGGGCAATATCATGGAATCACTCCATTCCTTCTGGAAGAGAGGTCTGTTTGCCAGAGGAAACCTTCTGGCGCGCCGTGACGGTGAACAGGCCCGGCAATCACACACGCCAGCCTTGGGGACAAGCCATTTGGCCTGAACAAGTCGTCATCCTCGTGTGTGTTGGCCGTTTGGCAAACTAGGATCTATTAATGGCCCTTGGGACAAGACAGACGCAGCCGTTGAACCGTTGTCCCAAGGGCCCTTTGCAACTGGACTGCGCTTCGGACAGTAGGAGGGCACTGTGTGTCCGTGGCGTGGTACATGCAGCAGGAGCACAGAAGCCTCCGTCGACGGCTTCGAGTATTCTGCACGTCAGCGGGGTTCCTAATTCAAATGCTGAATGACGCGCCGGGCTTGCAGCCTCCTCGCCGGGGAAACGTCTTCAAAAAGCCATCCTGCAGGCCGCCCTGCTCGTACTGCGGTACTCGAGCAAACGTCCATGGAGAAAACATGCCATTGGAGTCGGAATCGGCCCCCAGAGGGATACACACGACAGGGGCACACAACAGCCGACCCCTCTCCGCCGATGATCAGCATCACCAAGTGGACGGCCTTGACGTCTCTGCCTCTGCTGGGCCGGCTCTTGTGCAGGGCAGCTGAGCATCTGAGCCAGGGAGCAGCGGCCAAAAAGGGGTGCCGCCGCCAACATCTGTGACAAGATGCTGCAGGGATGGAAGCACTAGCCTGGCACAAAAGCTGGATGCGTGGGGAGAGGCGATGGTCCATGCATGAAGGCAGGAAATTGGGAGATTGGCACTAGTCCCGCCGGGGAAGGTTTCCAGAAGCCTTCTAGAAGGGATTGACGGCGTAGAAGCCTGGATGGAATTACGGCTGCGTCAAAGGGATGGGCTGCGCCGCCGTCTCGCCGCTTCATCTGCGACGAGGGTGGAACCTCGAGGTCAAACCGCCCCTGCAGGCCCTTTTTTCCCTCTCCACTCCTTCTGGAATGCTTCGAGAAGGTTGGTCAAGCTCAGGGGTCCCCGGGTAATTGGCCGGCCGAGCAAGATTACACGGACTTCTTGCTGCACACGGCAGGGCCTGGCAAGCAGGGCACCTGGCATCGTATCAGCCTTGGACGCGCTTGCTGGCGTCGCGCGGACGGACTGGAGGCCCGTCTCGCTCACACGGTCACGATACCGTACAGCGCTCAGCTCGCGCCTGGCCATGGTTATGGTTGTCGGGCTCGGGCAGCTGAGACAAAACGTCCGTACGGTCGACATTGTCGTGTGTGTGTGTGTTTGTCGCCCTGGCCTCCCGTTCGAGTGCGCGCGCATGGCTGCCTTGACTTGAGAACGGGACCGCCGTTGGGAAAGGGAAGGGTTGAAGTTTGAAATGACTGGATGATGGGGACATCACGGGACAAGCAGGGCAAGGGATGACTCCCAACCGTCAACCGTCATCGTAATATCCCGCGGCTCTGCTCCCGAAGCTCAGACTGGCTCGGGCAGGGTCCCATTGCAAATGGGCGGCCCTTTGCCAGAGCTTACCACTCCCACAGAAGCTAGCGGTATCCGCATCGTCAAGACATGGACCTTACGTTCTCGCAGCAGCTCAGACACAGGCGCGCCGCACGGCATCTACCATGGGCTAAGGCACTCATGCGGCATCGTTTATTACACCCGCAATGCAAGGTACGTGGAGTGGTCAAGGTGATGGGGGTCTGTAGACTAGCGAGCATCGACGGAGATTGCCGCAGGCGACATTCAACAACGATTGTCTGTGCGGGTCGTACTACTGCAGTTACAGAGATCCTAATCAATCGAAGCTCACGAGCAATCTGGTGACACTGACCGCCAACCTCGAAGAGGAAGAGCGAGAGACGTGGGGAATGGGAGAAGCGAAAAAAGAGAGCCCCCTAACCCCAGCACGGATGAGTCGAGAACAGGCTTCGACGGTCAGGCGCAGATGATGCAGAGAAGCGGTCAGCAGAGCCAAAAGGCGGTTGGAGGCTCTGCTCGATGCTGAGTGTATTGCAAAGCATGGAGCATGTGGTAAGGCGGACGAGGTTAACGACTCTGCGGCCAGCATCGTCCCAAACAGCAAACCCGAGCTAAATTGAGCGTGTACGAGTCGTACAACCATCCTCGGGGCAAGCTGTTTCAGGCGGCTGGCTTACATACTGCAACCAACTCAACAGCTAAAGAGACAGGTATGTACGTACGTACTGCACGTCGAGAAGGGGACGGGAATGGGGAAGGGGATGCGGCTGCCGGATCTCCGCAACAAAGTGAAGATCCCAGGTTCAGTCGCATGAGCTGCTTGCTGCCGTCTGCGAATAGCCTGGATATCTGCATCATCGGCCGACAAACAGCGCCGCGGCGCAACACGGCGCTAGCGGGAGGGAATATCTGTTCCTGGCAGGTCATAGTCGAATGTCAACTCGGCGCGGCGGCTACAGAATGATTGACGGGCGCCGACGTCGTTTCCTATGCATCAACCCTTGGGCCTCTGGGGGGAAGGCTTCCATGATTGTTCCATGCAAGCTTCTATTCATCCTTCCATTGTCGCTTACTGCCTTCCATTGTGCGACCAGGTTCAGCGCTCCGACCCCTGACGTTGGTGTTCCGTGTGCCTTGGCCCCCAGACTTGCTTCATGGGCCGTGCCCCTCGATGCCGCACCTTTCACAGTGCGCCTCTCACTGAAGACTTGGGAGGTACCTTGCAGACGGTCGTCCACGGGCACGATTGGCATCATGTTCCATCACGTCTGTGCCTGCTGGGTGCCATCGTCACGACGCTACAACACGACAGCATCACCGTCAGAGTATTCGACAAGTACAGCAGGAGAACCGGCGTCCCTGCGGCCTCCTACCTGACCCTGCCTCAGGCTCACTGGCCACCCCCTAAACATCGACCATCATGCATCCTTGTTTGTCGTCAACCAGGGAGACCAGGTCACATCAACAGCCTCGGTGAGGGCCGCGAAACCGAAAATCTTGTCTATTTTTGTCGGCTACTGTCCTTTTCTTCTCCTTCTCTCGCGGCGGGCGATACACCGCTCTCTTCAAACGTCCGCGCTGTGGCAGACGCCACAAGATGCCAGATGCTAGATGCCCTCGAGCCCCAGGATGGCCGTCCGTCGAGGCCTTCAGCTAGCGTTCCAAGTTTATCAAGACAACGACGATGCCGTCGACATCTGCGTCAGCCCTGCTGCCACCGTGCAGCCTCAGCCTCCCGTCGACTCCGTGCCGAAGCAACGACATCTCCTAGCCAGTGTCTCTCTTCCGCCGCACTAACGACCGCTGAACCGGACACGCACGCGCACACTCACTCGACGAACGCCCGGCCTGATCGCACCTCGAAACCAAAACACCGTACCATTGTCAATGCTGTAGCGCCCTCCGCCTCCCGTCCAATGCACCCCAGGGACAAAGACGGCACACCCAAGCCTCACCTGGATCCAAGATAATATCAGAGACCGCCATCAAGACCCTCCAGCGTGGCGGGTACACATGTCAGCCAACTGGGTGCTTCCCGCGACCCGGACTAGTCAGGATCAAGGGCGAGACGAGAGAAAAAATCAAAGTCGGAATGGAGTCGTCAATAGCGCGCCCCAGTCTCCCGATCGTGGCCACAGCCCATGGTTTGTTTAATAATGCCCGCGACGGCCGTTCCGTTCGTCATTCAGCAGCTCAGAACTTTTGTCATGCACACCTCTTGTCGAGTTCCTTACATTGTCCTTTCTCGATCTGGACATGAAACGCCCGTGCCGAAACCTCGTCTCTGTCAGTCGCGGCCAAACGACGTCTCCAGCTTGACTAGCACGGGATAGAGCAGCGCTAGCCTCGCCTTGCCTTGCTTTGCTTGCCCTCCTACTCGCCTCGCTGGCAACTGGACGACGACGGCTAGACACGACAACGACCACTCGTTCAGGAGTGTCCCGTCAGGCCAGACGCCGGCAGTTGGAGGGATGGGCATGTTAAATCTCGTTAGACCCACCCACACGAGGAAACCACGTCTGCTAGCTAAACTTAGCTGAGTGGGATGAACTGACTCCGACATGACCGTCGGCTGGCGGTGCGACGCTACGCCGTCTTTACGGATACACTACTTCTGAATCCTACCCCGAGAGCTGTCAAATTGCTCTTGCCAAGCTCGGGGCGCTGCTCAACGAGCATTCTGGTGGCTGTCGCGTCGCAAGGGACGCAGATTCCACGATGTTGGCCCCGTTGGCTGTTTCGTCCTTTTGGTTGCATGGCACGCACGCGCACACCTTTTCCACGATGCATAGACTCTCTGCTTGTCCAGGCTGACCTTGTCTCGCGCCTTCAGACGGCAAGGGCCAGCAACCCATCAGACAGCCAGCGCCCAAAAAAACATCGAACCGGATTCACGGGGGAGACTCCTGATGGGTCTCCCTGCGGCGAGAACCGGCATTTCCGCTGTTCCACATGATCCCGGCAGCTTGCCAGGCCGCCGGGAAGCGAACGGGTCGAAGCAATGCAGCCGTGAAAACAACAGCCACGGGCTGCATCTACACGAAGCCGCCGCGGTAGAAGACAAAACAACCGTCTTCGGGCTGCATCACGCGCGCTCCGCAAACGCGATCGCGACGTGCCAATTGGCGGGCACGGGAAGACGATCGACGAGGCCCCAGGGAGCACGTCCGACAAGTGCCCTCCCGCTCGGGAGCCTCAAAAGTCATGTGCCCACACGGACTCTCGCTACTGACTTTCTGGCGCGGCTTCTGGAAAGCATCGACAACATCATCATGGTCCTTTTGGCTAGACACCCGACCGAACTGTAGGCCATCGACCTCTCCACCTTGGGCACCATTGGGCTTCCCACCGGTGATCATCTCAACGTTCGTCTCTTCATGCTGGCGAGGATGTGCAAAAGGAGGCGAATCTCTCGCTCAAGCAACGCTGCCTCTTTGCCTCCTGAAACCGCCATTGAAAATTCAATCCGGCCGAGTACCAAGAAACTGACTCAAGAAACCTCAAACTTCCACAGGCTGAGCGTCCGGCTCCACACCCTCATCGGGGCCGACGGCCGCCACTCCCTGCCGCCGCTGTCCCAAGGTGCAGATTTCCAAGACAATCAGAGTGCAGGTCGCGGGACTGGCATCATCGGAGGATCGAGCTGAACAGAACCGGCAGGCAAATGAACAAGACGGCGCTGCGTGTGCCCCATCGCCAGTCATAACTCGAGGACGCCAGAAGCTCAGAGATTGCAGGCTCTGACGTGGTCGAGTCCTGTACCCCTCGAGTGTTTGCGGACTGAGATGGATGGGCCATAAGCTTTTCTCGGACCCGTGAGCCTGTGAGGGACTGGTCGAAACTGACCCTTTTGAAGCGTTACATAGGGTCGTCGGCAGGCAGATCCATGACGGGCCATGACGAGGGCTCAGCGAGCGCAGCAGCCTGATCTGGACTGACTCCGCGGTTCGACCGCGCAGCAGGGAGCGTAAACCTTGCGGAAGCAATGCCAACCCCGGCTGCAGGTCTGGGTCACGCCCGTCCCATTGGATTCCTCGACATCCGACAAGACGGTTCACCCGTAATTACCGAGCATCATGGTGACGGTCAGACGATCTAATCCGGGGAAGCGAATGATACCCGAAACCTGCAAAGATGCTTACGACGACGCACTCGCAGCTCTCGGTTATCTTTTACCGCGGCGCAAGTGGGTAGGGTCTCAGCCAGTCTTGATACCATTTCGTTCGTACGTGTTGGGGCCCCGTGCGTTGGGAATGATCGCCCGCGAGTCCCATGCTGGCTGTGCTTCATTCATGCCTGGAGTCAGGTTCCAGACGTTGGCTTGACATTGCCGAGCGGCCGTGAGTGCCTCGCTGTCAATTCTCCGGTCCCGCTGCGACGGACCAGCAACCTTCGGGGAGCATCCCTACCTGGCCCGGAGGCGATCACGGTCGTCTACCGCGCCCAGTTGGACGGGCTCAGCTGCGCTGCGCATCCGACTTCCCAACACTGCTGCTGCCAACCGGTCGCGGCCTGCAGGTCTCGCAGCCGGACGTGGGGGGGGGGGGGGGGGGGGGGGGGGGGGGGCAGGCGTTGCTTTTCCTGTGCAAAATCACCAATGAGCGACAATCAGTGACCGCGGATTTGATTAAGTGCAGCCGGCCCTGGAATTCGGGCTGGCGTCCGTCAGCTCTTGGCCGCGAAGGGAGCCTGTTGATTACACATCGGGGCAAGACACTCGGGGATGTCGGAAGTCGACCGGTGAGGAGAGCGCAAAGGTGCATCGGGGACTGATTCACAACGTGCCAGGGTCGCATTCCGATGCGGTTGATCCACGACAGCAAAGACCGTCAGGAGGCCCCGTGCTGAGCAGCCATCTTTTGCCTACGCGGTCCGCTCCGTGATTCCGCCCGGGGCCGGCGCCGTGGCCAGGACACGGACCAGTGTCGCCGCCGAGCAGCTATCGTAGCATCCGAGCTTCGTGAGCGGAAGACGGCGAGCTTTTGGGAGTTCCTGTTGCACGATGCACTGGCGGACCCGAGCATGCGTCACGGTGTGGGTGTCGAGCTGCAGATGCAGCTGCACGGTGGCCTGGCGTTTTTTCGCCCTACCGATGACGGTCTTACGTGACGGAGGGGTCCAACGAGGTGGATGAGGCGCTGAGACATGCTGTCCAAAAAGTGCCATACAGGAGCCGCCAGAATGGACGACATGACACCGTCGACTGCCAATCACTCTTCGTGAGGAAACGGCTCCCACGCCATGTGCTGTTGTTGTCTCAATACCGGTGAAGGATTGAGGATGGTTACCCTGCGACGACGGGCGAGAGATTGGCTCGCCGAGTAAATGCTTGGTGCCCTGGACAGGGATGCGATTCGACGAGGCTCACCGAGCGCGGGGTCGCGTCCGCCCCCCTGGTGAAGAAGAATTTGGGGGATTGCGACAGTCGTATCCGAAAGGCCTATCGTGCATTGTTGTCTCTGAAAGAGACGCAGGTTGCAAGGCTGACATCGCTTGACTCGGGAAACGGACTAATGGTTCTTAGTCATGGCCGATCGCGATTCCACACATGCGTGTCTAGGGGTTCCGGCGGAGGACAGGGCCGCCTCCGAAAGATGCATCGTGTTCCCGTCTGTCCCCCCTATTCCCGCCGCGCGGGACGGCCCTAAAGAGGGAGTCCCCACGGCCACCAGCGACCTGACCCAACGTAAGCGAAGCCGGAACCGCAGCGAGACAAGGAACGGGTCGACATTTGTCTTCTCATTCGCACACGCCGCGTTTCCTCTCCTCAGCGGGGTATTTGGGAGGATCCTGCATCAGCAGGGCGTCATGGGAGTTGGCATTCCACGCACGCGCCGTCATTAGGGGTCCCCAACCAGGCGCACTATATACATGCGCATGCATCATGTCGGGGCTGATGTCCAGATATGTCTGGCCGGTGAAGGTCTCTCCAGCATTCGTTTGGCAGTGTCGCCAAGGCCCTCCAGTGTGGGGGGGTTTCTGCTGGTTGAGCGAGGGCTGTCGACATCAGAGGCTGGGGAGTGAATCAAGTACAAGAGATTGGATCAAATGGATGCGAGGCAGGATCAGCCTAAGGGGTGAGGTGAGGTGTAGTGAATGCCCATCCACCGGGCTGCCCACGAGTATATATAGACGGACGTCGACAACAAGAACCTGCAGCTATCCGCAAACAACCACCTCATCCATCACACTTCCACCTTCACTGTCACCATTTTGGCAATAGCCTCATCCGTCACCAGACCACCACCACTCTCAACCAGTCACAATGGGACCCCACGTCAAGACGGCCCAGATTCCTGAGCACGGCACCGTGCTGGACATTGGCGGCGGCAGCATGTCCTCCAACGTCCTGGACGACCTGCGCGCCGTCTTCCGCA